CAGAGATGGCCGCACAGGTGTCTTTTAAAGCATTTCATTAATTACAAATAGGAAAGCCGCGTGCAATCCTCGTCGAGAGCCCCAGTGTGTCTCCGCTTGGGCAAACCGGCAATTCGCAGGACACCTGGCCGAAACATCACGGATTTTCTGCTGACGACCTCGACGGTCCCCCGAAACCTGCTCGTTTCCTGGTAGACTTGATCGAAAGGTTGCAATAAAACAACTACTGCCAGAAAGGGGGAGCGCGCGTTTAACTGCTGACGAACCAGCAGAATTACCTTGGTACGTTATTACCAAAAAAAAAAAAAAAAAAAAAAAGGAAAAATAGAGAGGAGAGAAAAGGAGAAGGAGATACAAATTGGCAAAGCATGATTCGAATCGAATTAAGCGAAGAGAATTCCTGCTGGAACGAATTGGAATTATTTCGAGGAAGAGGAATCTTGTTGTTGGTTTCTTTGTGAGAATTTTGGCAGTCAGGTTGGCCACGAGATTCCAATGTCGACTACTATTCGCGTATAATCGATCTAACACGTAGCTACGTGTTTTAGGTAACAATTTACGCAAGGGCATCTATACAAATATAACGGTACACTCGAGAATCTCCAGGTGCTGCGGCAGCCTAACACCTGGTCGAATATTCGAATTTTCTCAGGGACCCCTACCTCACCGAAAGTCCAAGGTTTCCAGGACCCCACTGAGTGCAGATGTAGATCAAAAATGTACCTTTAAATCCGCGTAAGGACAACGATGTTGCAAGAACATCTGCAGCCAGAGCGTCTCGGACTTTGAACGTTTTGTCGAGTTATATAACAGAGCTGCAAACGCGTCTGACGACACTTTACCGCCACGTGTGTAGTAAATTACGCTTGTGCACGTAAGTATGTGACATTAGGTTCGGTTTGGAGAACGCTATATAAACCTGATCGTCTTATTGATCGGTGTCTGGACGAACGAAGCATCGCTTGTCACGTGTCGTGCCAATGCGTCTTTCTTTCACCGGAACGTATTAACGCAGCTGTGCCTCGGAGTAGAGAAAGCTGAACGAGCCAACTCGCACGGAAATCTCCCGAGAGCCTATTCGAAAACAATTTAGATTACTTGCTTTCATATTGACTGTTCCCTGCATGTTTAAGAAAAGTAATTCTGCCGTAACTCTGAAATTTCAGTCGTATAATTACCATGTACTTTTAAATGGCAGAAAATTAATTAAGGTCAGACACTTTATTAATCACATCCGGTAAACTGTTATTTTCGTTGCGTTAAATATTTTTAATTCTTAAACTCTGATTTTTCAATTCTTTTTACCTTTAAAATTTTCCAAGCTCGTTTGATCGTCTTCTAGTTACTTTATCACAAGCACGATCAACTCCAGTGTCATTTGGAAAATCGTAAACTTCATATTTTCATTTTCACTGTCACTTGTTGTCACTTATCACTGACCATATTTAAACGGCTTAAGAAATTAATTCACGTAACAAAACACTGAACACTTTTACAACTGTTACAACTTGCAACTGAGATATAATTGCTCTTGATTGATAATATAAAATACGAGATATCTCGTCAGCGATATTTTACCGCCCCTAGCGGAAAGATACGAAAGACGAGATATTTCGTCATCCGTCTGCAACGTGTTAAGGATTTGACAAAAGAATTTTTGATTCTACGAATCGATTTTGCGCCTTGTAACTACGTAATTAATTACATTTATCTTTCTCATTAACTTGATTTATGTATTTATTAATCCTGTTTAAATGGAAATTATCGAGTTCGACATTTTAACCCTCCGCGACCAAAATTTTATTTGCTTATGAAAAACAAAGAATTCTCTCCTTGAATCTTAAATTTGCCAGTTAATAATTACCATAAATAGAAAATGTTTATGGTAACGCAATAACGTATTAGTAAAATACAATAATACAACAATAAATAAATTAAATTAAATTAGAAAAGAATAAACGTAAAGGTATATCATTTTTATTGCACAGGACATTATAGGCGATTAATATTAAAAGCATTATACAACTTTCCGACTTTCCTATTTAACAAATCATAAATATTGTATAAAACTTCTTTTGTGGCGTAACAAGGAACAAAAAATAACTAGTCAGAGATAAACGGATTAAATGAATGTGACATAATTCCATACTTAATCTACAACGTTAAACGTGTGACCAAGAATCGTGAGAAACGTGACAAATACATAGATTATGGCTTGTATTAATCAATACCAATCATTTTCCCACCGACAAGAAACTGCAGTACAAATCGACACCTGCGATCTTACTAAAAACAGAATATTACGTTTTTTGAAGCAGCACAATTACTTGCATTGTTAATGTATCGTGCACATTTTGTTCATATTTTTGCCCGAAGTCGAAATTAAGTCTACTTATCGATTAAGTAACATATTTTTCTGCATAGCTATCGAGGATAAAAAAGAATGACAGACCACTTTGCAGAAAATTGCGTAAAAACTCGTCGAGAATGTTCTTATCAAATTGAATGGAAACCTCGAATAATACATTTAACATTCATGAGAAAGAACAGCTTTTAAATCGCACTATTTCATAAGTTTCAAACGTTCGACGTTTCTTAAAACGCTTGTTTCTTAAAACGAACATAGAATCCTACTTTACAGTTAACTCAACTTTGACCAAAAATTCGAGATCTCCATTCGATAGTTATTGACCTCGTAAAATTACGATCGAAAAATCCCTATCTTGATATTCCATACAAAGAGGAAGACACAGATAAAGACCGCTTGGAGATAGTTTCCAAGAACGTTTCGAGGCCTCTGCACACCTGAGGAGGACTTACGAACGGTGTCGCCTAAGGCGTGTTCTCCAATCTTAGCAGAAATTCGAGCTCTCCCTCGCGGTCGTTCAACAATAAAACAACGGCGTGGGGTCCGTTCAAATGTACAGGTCGCGATGGAACAAGGCAGGAACGGAAAACAGGCTCCCACGAATCCCACGACACTCGTTTTGAGCCGTGAAGGAAAGGCTGCGGGTGTCCTGGTGGCTCTTTCGACTCAGCCAAGTGACAGTTTCGAGTTGTTATTGTGCGCGATCAAACGTTACAAAGAAAAGATCGATTCGAATGGATAATACGCGAAATAATCGTAATCTTGAGATAAATGGCGAATACTTAAATTATTTTGTACCCCATAACGGTTGGGTGACTGGAATTGCCATCGCGTACGATCATGTGTTGTAGAGAAATAGTCAACTCGAATCACAACACGCAAAATAATCATAACTTTGGGACTAATGGCAGAGATATAAATTATTCTGTAGTCCATAAGAGTTAGGTGCAATAAAAGAGAAATAATATAAGTCATACCTTTTCTAGAGTGTAGTACAGTTTGTAACTGTTAACCATAATACTGGAATTCGTAATTGGTACAATATGGATGCGGGCAGATTTATGACCACCTGGCCATCACACGTGTGCAACAACGGTGACGACTGTGCGCATTCGTCAAACTTCTACCGTTATCATGTATGTAGTTTAGGTTCGGTTCTCTGGGTTCGATAAAAACTAAGAGTTACTTTTTACAACGTTTCTTATAATTTTATTTTAAAATTCAACAGGCCGCTGGCAATATACAGGCATACGGATTAACATTATCTGCCACCTGATTATTCAGTTATTGGTGATTTATTTTTGCAATGTATGCAGACACATGTCCGCAGGGAACATGTATATGGATTAAGATAAAATCGTTGCCGTGCTAGAACTTGCTCTGTATCTTACAACGTCGATTCGTTCTCCAGCGAATGATTAATAAGTCGATCCATTTTACTTTTATTGCAATTCGATAGAAGAAGCAAATAATCGTTTCAGTTGAAATTCCTTTTCGTTACGTTGATCTTCACTTATAAATAATTGTTCGCGCGGATAATTCTTATTGAGAATATCTCAAATTCATAAAAGAAAGTAATGAAAAAACCATTTGTAATCTTTAATAATTTTAGCGTTGCTCTCGATAATTTATATGCTTTTAAGATAAAATATCACTTTTCGTGGTCGGACTATTTTAAAACATTGCGATGCGTCACGAAACTACAACGTGACACGCTATTATTAATTATTCGTAGACTGCGGATATTTAGCCACGTATTTATGAAAAATTTAGAGCCGAGAAAATGTACAGAATGCATATATAGTACTCGATATAATATTATACGAGGTAAGACAAATCTCCATTTATATTATTCCATTCCTTTAATTGCACCGATAAAAAAGCAAATAAAGATTGTAGCTGATTTCCTGATCTTGTAAGTAAAAAATATGCATAAACATCTGCGATCTAATCGTTAGTCTTGCGTAAGCAACGCCACATAGATCCCAATGACTATCCTTCATGCTGATAGTGCAACATTATCAAGAGCAACCAGGCTTCCCGTGCAATTTATTAACCGGCAACGAAAAACGAAAATAACAACTTCTCTGCCATCTCCATGAAACTCTCGCGACACAAATTGAGACAAACAACTGGAGTGCGCGCTCGTGTGTGCGCTTCTATGGCTTCTAGATCGCACGCACACATTCAGCCGGCCTGTCTCATACACAGCACCGGCCGACTTATGAATGGTATCTGCACACGTTCCCACGTCACTGAATGAGTCTCAGGTCTCTCACGTCCGGCAGGATTATCGTGCCCGGTCGCGTTCTTCGCGTAAACCGTGCGAGTCTCCTTTCACGTTTCCTCCCTGTTCTCTCGCGTCTGCTTCTGCTCTAGTTCTGCTTCGTAGGAAGAAAAAAGAGATTTCGACGGCGCTGTAGAACGACAGCTTCAGGGAAGAGAGCAGAGAAGGAAGAAGAAAGAAAAAAGCGTGCGTTGCTCTCCTAACTCTCGCTAGGTGCATGGCGCACGGTAGCAATTCTAGTTGCATAACAAGTCACATTCCGCGAGTAAGACAATGCCAGTTTGCTTCCCGGAAGTTGGTACACGTTCAGAGACCTGAGAAAAAATACATGTTTATTGCCGGTTTTTCGATACTGTAATTATACGGTCTGATGTAAGGCGCCGCTTTTCATTTGAGATTGTGTTGATTAGGCTAAGACTTGTTAGGAAACTCTAGCAGCTTGTTTTATGATTTTATAATAAAATGGTAACTGAATATACTATTTTATTAAGCTTTTTATTTAACTTGATTACTAAGATTAATTGAGATTAACTATTAACATTAATATTGATATTGATATTAACCGTATGAGTACTGTGTACATATATTAATTCACAAGGCTGAGAAAAAACATATTTGTGATTGGTCTCTCGATCTCACAACTAACGTGATGCAAGATGCTATTTTTCATTTGCGTTAGTCGATATTGAACAGGCTTATCTTAATAAGAATCTTCAGAAGTTTGTTCAAAGATTTCATAGAATGAATATTGATCGAACATATTGTTTTACAAAGATGAGAAAATACGTATTCGCAGTGTTCGCATCTTTATACTGTAATTAATTAATTAATTTAATACAGACGGCCAAATTTAGTTGAATTTACATTTAATGTTAGGATAGGTTTCAGACACTTGAGACGTTTGTTTTATGATACAGGAATGCTAAATGAGTAGACGTATTAATTTATAAAGATGGGAAAACACGCGTTTGTAGTTAGCTTTATAATCTTGTAATAATTAATTTGATGCAAGGCGCCAGTTTTATTTGAATTAATATTAGTTAGGTTAGAAAGATGGGAAGTTTGTTTTACGAGATAGTAATATTAAATGAGTACATACATTAATTGCAAAGCTGAGAAAGAATGAATTTTACGTGTTGTTTCATTTTATAATTAGTCTGATACACAATGTTATTTGAATTAATTGTTGATTCGCTTAAAATTCTGAATTATTAGTCGATTCAATGGTTAATAATGTTATCACAATAATGCATTAAAGATAAAGCGATAATCGTACTTTAAATATCTATAGGATACTAATTAGATGGAAAGAAACTCGTCTGAGAGGAAAGTATCAAAACCAAACTATTGTAAAACAATTTTATTTATTCCATATAGAATGGTTGAAACAAATGTAATTTTCTTTCACCTATCTTATCATACAATTATCTGCATCAACGTAAATCAAGTCTATAATAATTTCATATTCGCATATAGACCGATAACTGTTACTTCTATAACTTGCAGCAACTTGATAGCAGCAGTTTATAACTTATCGCGTTCTTTAAAAAAATAAACCTATAAAAATATATTTTGCGGCTGCGTACAACAAAGATTCGTTTTCCAAAAAATTGCTGTTCCGTCTCTTATCAACGACATTTCACGCTGAAAGAATATCCCACATAATATCTAAAAATACCACATTCTAAAGGAATACTATATGATAAAGCGACACGTACTTAAAAGACTTATTCTACAATGAAGACTTAATCTACAATGAACAATCGTTTTCCACAAAGATCGATCTTTTGAAACTTCTCTTTTTTCTTATCACCGTGATAATTCGCAAGGGCGACTAGAACCATACGAAGACATCCCGTTTAATACCATTATCGCGGACAACGAAAACGCATTTGAATAATAGCTTCTTTCACAATAAAGGCGCCTTTCTTACAGCTCAGGGTCTAATCCTGCAGCTTTGCTGGATGACCACGCGTCGATGCAAACATTATCGATTATACCGTAAACCAGGTAGGAGGGCGAGAGGGACGTTGCGGAAAGAAAATACGGATTCCTGTCACGTTCTCCT